CCCCCTGGCAGACATTTTTTATGTGTTTTTCATTACTGGGAAAACTTGTTTAATGATAATTTGATCTGCAGCCTTATTCACAAAGCCTTCTGGGGAGAGGAGTGGCTCCTAATTGGCCAATTTTGAAGTAAATTCTAAAAATATCACACTTCATGCTTAATTTTAGAAGGCAAACAGAAAATCGCTCAAAACTATGTTGACAACAAAAGTTTGAGAAGTTAAGGAGACGTGGGGACGTGTTCTGGAGATAAAAGTTATCCTACATTAAAAATAGATGCATCTAGACTGCAACCTGCTTCCCTATCTGTCCTTGTCATCCCAGTATTTGACTGCAGCCTGAAAGTGACAATTATAGATTCATATTATTGTATATGGAAGTCTTGGTTTGTAGCTGTTTTACTGTATAACAAACCCAGTAATTCAAGCAGTATTTCCCCCCCCCACAAATATTGTCAGATAAATTGGTATCTGTCTGTACTGTTATGTAAAATTTTCCATCATTTTCTTGTTATATGATGCCAAACTACAACCTTATTCGATCAATACTTACTTAAGAGCAAAGATCAATCTCAGATCTCTTCATCTCAGAAATAGTTGGAGTTTTGTTGAGGGCTGCTGGAAAATAAAGGCTTCATGACTGCAGGTGTTGGTGAAAAAGAGACGAGTGTAACCTGAGAACCTTGTTGCCGTGTCCCCTTTGGCTTAGCTCGCCTTTGAACGGATCTGGCAGATTAGGTTCAGCCCCGTGTTTTGTGTTTAATGTTAATCAGCAATGTGCTGGCCTGATGCTGTGTGGACAGATGCTGTGTTTCATTTTTCAAATTATATTTTTGGGTTGGACTTTGTCCTTTTTTCTTTTATTGCTGATGTTTCCTGATGATAAGCAGTCTTACTTAGTGGCTTTATACTGGTCTTCATACTTTAGATGTCGTCCAACAATAGATCTGAATCCAAATCAAGAATCTTCATCACTGACGTCTTCAGACAGACAGCTTTGGCCCAGAGACAGGCTGCGGTTGATGTGGCTCATTTTGCTCACTTAAGCATGACTTGCTCTAAAATATGACTTGTCAGTTAAGTGTAATTCTCATGGCAGCCCGGTGGCAGTCTGCCAATCCAACGGCACCAGAGTCACAGCTGCATGCGTACATGCTGTAGCATCTGTCACATCTCTCTTTCTTCAACTTCCTCCCTAAGAAACATTAAAGGAGGGTGGACCTCATCACGGGTGATTAGGTGTTTAGGTGTTTAGGCTTTGCTTGCCACTACCTGTGAGATAAGCAGCAGTGAAACAAACATTAAATGTAACAGATGTAAAACCAATTTCCTCCGTCCTCTCTAACCCTTCAGCTTCGATTCCGAGAATGGTCCCTCGCCAGGCCGCAGTCCCATGGATTCGCAGGCGAGTCCTGGGTTGGTGCTCCACCCTTCTTTCCCCCAGAGCCAGCGCAGGGAATCCTTCCTGTACCGCTCAGATTCAGACTACGACACGTCCCCCAAAACCATGTCACGCAACTCCTCCATCAACAGTGAGGGGTAAGCACAAGCCCATCATCCTGGATCCATCAAGCAGCAGAAAAAATTTAAACATGTTTTTTAAACCCTGCAGTGTCCACTCACACACACACACACATCACTAACTGCACATTATTCCAATCAACACAGTGATGGTGGTGATTGTAATTATGCAATCATTATGCTAATGAAATCATGATGAATCCTCTTAGCATTAACTGTTGTGCTCTGTTTCCTGGCTTGTCTTTCAGTATGTTTAAACCACCCAAAACCTTCCATTTGTGTATATCAGGACTATTTCTCTGTTTAGATCCAAATAGGTCTCTGTAAACATACAGCTGACAGATACAGCCTCTCATATAAACACTAATACTGAGCGCATCAGCCTCCCAAACCGCTCACATTCATCTCATTCTCTGCTTTTTGTTTTCATCTTTTATCCTGTAGGCACGCTGAAGACATGATTGTCACCCCTTTTGCTCAGGTATGTTTTCCTTGTGCACCTTGTCTGGCAGGTTTAATTGCTGTAAATGACTAGAAAAAGTGGCTAATTAGTGCAGTGAACTTGTCCCCCCATCCCATCTCCCTCCCTCCTCCTCCTCCTTCTTTCCCTCCTACACTGTCCATCCATCCCCCAGGTGTTGGCCAGCCTACGAACCGTAAGAAGCAACTTCACCATCCTCGCCAATGTCACAACACCCACTAACAAGTCAGTATCATGCTGTCAAACACCCCTTCCCCCCACTTACACTCGTCACGACTGCCTGCTTAGTTTGCAGTGTGTGTTTGCTAATGTCTCCTTCTCCTGGCTCCCGTGGGAAACACTTTTGCCATCATGATTAACCAGTTTATGATTATCACACTATGCTCAAGGAAAATATGATCTGCATTATCTGGCATCTCTCCAACTCGCTGGCTGAGGACTGAGTGCAGCAAACACCATGCGTCAGATGTATGTCCCTGACTCTGTACCCAGACGATGGAGACGGTCAATAACCCTAAAATTATTCTCCTTTGTAATGCAGTAGACAGAAGGAGCTCGAGTTGGCAGGCTTTTAGCTCCACGTCAATATGATATATAAAGCAATGCACCACAGAATTATCAGCATCTATAATTATGCAGTGTTGTGCCCTGAAAATGCCTCCCTCACTACACAATTATGAAACCACGAAGGCTATTTGAAAGGAGAGTGGAGCTCATGCTTTGTCTTTGACTATTTTTAGATACTTGAATATTTGAAGTGAAACTGGGGAATTTTATGCACTTGCGTTTTAATATAGACATGTACTCATCCCTTCGTCTCTTTTAGGGGAATATAAATGAATAAAAAAAAAATTAATATATCCTCTGTGAGCCAAGCCTTTTGTTGCCTCATAATCTAATGCTGAATGTGTGTTGAACCCCAGCAGGGGGCAGCAGTGTGTGCTTCTGCCTCTGATGTAATGATGTGTTCATCCACAGGAGGTCACCAGTGACAAGCCAACCCACTGTTCCCCAAGCTACACTCTCTGGTATGTTGTCAGCTAATTAAAACTCTTAGTCCAAAGAGTCCCACAGTCCCCTCACACAGCTTTAAGGACACACTAAGGCTCCCAAACTCTCCAAATGCATCATCAGTAATGAAAATGACTGCAGAACAGCACAGAATATCGTATGGCTATTAAAGAGGATTTTTTAAATTAACTTCACCTACTGCATACATTTTATGAGACTGGATATATTGTAATCGTATTATATCTTAATTATATATTGCTAAAGCTACAAAATATATATAAGTTGATGAATTATTTGCTGATATAAAAGTTAGCTCTCTGTTCATAAAGACGTTCAAAGGACATATGAAAAACTTAATGTTCACCTTCACTGCACAGAAACTGAGAGAAAATGCTGTAGTCTACTGTGTTTGTTAGAGGACAAAATGTAACCAGTTGTAAAGATGTGTAGAGTGTAGAGTGCCTGACATGAACATTTTCATGTTGTTTTAACCATGCTAACCATTCAACGCTTAATATTAGAGGCACAATCAGTAATATTTTGACAAATATATATATATACATAGAGATATATATACACACACACACACACACACACACACACACATTTGTGTTAATCAGCTGATAATAATTTCAGTGTGCAGAACACATATACATTGTTCTTGTCTTGGTGCTCAGCCCCACAACTGTACAGTGATTTCTGTTCCTAAATGCAATGAAGTAATAAAAATAATAAAAGGGGGATTCAGCAGTGTTGCGAGTCTTAAGAAAGCAGAAAGTAGTGTGTATAACAAATTAAACATTATTTATCAGAATACATACATTAATTTGTCTATTTTAAAATACCTGTCAGTTGTAGATGGATTGTTCTCATATGTTGTCAATAAAATTTTTTTTGTGTTATTCAGCTAATCATTATCTAATATATATGCCATTTCACTATAAATATTATACTTATATAAAACAATATGTTTATATACATACATACATATATATATATATATATATATATATATATAGTGTTGTTACATATATGAGATCATAAGACTATATACTATGGCATATCACATATTCAGAATTTTGTTGGTGTGTGTGTGTGTGTGTGTGTGTGTGTGTGTCTGTGTACTTCCCAGAGGAGACATACCAGCAGATGGCTCGGGAGACTCTGGAGGAACTGGACTGGTGTCTGGACCAGCTGGAGACCATTCAGACCCACCGCTCAGTCAGCGAGATGGCCTCAAACAAGGTTCGCACCTGTCCACACACAAACATGTTCACTTGTACTTTCACTGTCCATGCTTGGTACTGAGCTTCTTGATGAACAACATGTGTATTTCATGGTTCCTAGTTGTATCACTCAGTGTACAAAATACATCATGGCTAACTTCCTGTCTAAGCTTCCACCCTACAAACAATGGAGCTCCACAAAGGTAAATTATTAAAGTGAACTGAAAAAAAATGCATATAAAACTTTTGGTCATAAAAAACCTTAATCTGGCTTATCCAGCCTTGTCTAACACCTGTCACATTGAATCTTCACACATTTTCACATAATATTGTTTAGGAAATTACTCATTAGCTGTTGAAGTAATCACGTGCTGCTTTTTCTACTGTAGATTGTGACAATTTTCAGATAGTTGTTAATTAGTAGTAGTCATTTTAAAAAATATTTGTTTCCTGGGTTTATTTGCAATCTTGTGGTAGTAATTGTATAGATGAATTATTGATGTGGGCTTTACCACATATGTGGTCAACCATCTCTGGGTTTTTATGGCGTACATGATGTCTCATTAAGCATTTGTCTTTATAACTGCAAGAGATGCAGCTGTGCATTTTGCATCGACATGCCTGTATGTGTGCACATGGGCCTGCTTGTTAAGAATGCATGCATTTGTATTTGTGGGGGCACAGAACAGAGAAGGAGAGGGAGAGAGAGAGAGAAAGGTGGGAGGGAGGGTGACAGTCTATGGAGGACATGGGAGGGGGGGACAGGCCCTGATGCTGATGTCTCTGCTGTAACCTTGGTTGCTATCGAACAGCAGCAGGGTCTGCCCTTCCCTTTTAGTCATTGGCTTGCCACTCTGACCACAAGCCATGTGGTTTAGGCAACAACCAATGAAATAGAGGTGATGCTCCTTTAATAGTGTTTTGTCTTAAAGAGACAGCATCCTGTACCTTGTTTTATTCTATAAATTCTTCCCGTGTTGCACTTATAATCAGTCAGGCTTATGATGAAAAGGCAGAGGGAGAGATAACAGGAGAGTATTCAAAGGACATAATTTATGTCTGTCTGTCTGTGTGTGCACATTTATGTAAAATATGTGTGCAGATACAATGTGCAGAGAGAAGTCTCCTGGGGTAAACAGAGTCTCTGTGAATATGTTGCTGCCTTTTAGCAGCCGCAACTAAGCTACAGAAATCCTCCGCACTGTGCCAACATGGAGGTACACATGAATATTCCCACTCAGTCTCTCACTCTTACTCACACCCTCGCTCACACACATATTTTCGACAGACGTACATGCTGTCTTGTCGCACATGCGCAATCAGGCTGAGGCAAGCACAGACACACACACACACACACACACATGCATGCGCCTGCAGCCACACTGCCTGATTAGCTTGCGAGAGCTGTCTACAGCATCCAGGGAAATGGCGCAAGAGGCAGAGCATTGGAGGAGGAACGGCAGCCTAAAGCGGCAGGATTAGACCTCTGGCATTTTGTCCAGCTGAGGCATGGATTGACTTGGAGCAGGGGACCGGGCTACGGAGCTATCAGGAGGCAGCCTGACTGACTTTGGACTGACTGTGTTTTGCTGGGATTGGTGTGAGACAGCACAGGCGGGCTGATGCACCGGTAGGACTGGGCCGGGCCTCTGGATCCGTACCGTGGGGGAGGGGCAGTCGACGCAGGGAGAGGGAGTCTGTTTTTCCAGACCACAGCTCTGGTGTGATTCTTCAGCCTGACCGTCTGCTACAGGCCTGCCTACATCCCTCTCTGTCTTTTTCTCTCTCTCCCTTTCTCATCCTCTTCATCCTTGTTTTTCTCTTGCTATTATCATCTGTTTCTCCTTTCTTCCTTCTCCAATGTTCCCGCTGTCATCCAAGCTCCCTTCACCTCCATCATTCGATACTACAGTCATCTTTCTGTCCTGTCGTCACCACAACTCCATCCCTCTCACCTTCATCATCTAAATTTTTTATTACTGTTTGTCAAGCATCTCAGCTCTCTCAACATAATTTTTTCGTTTACATCTCTCTCACATTCCCACTCATCTCTCCCATCGGCTCCTCTCTGTGCCCTTCAGACGGTCCCTCGCTTCCTCTCCTTCTCTGTTTCCCTCCATCTTCCCTCTTTCGGCTCCCATCCACCTCTACTTTGCAGTGACTGTACATTTGGGTCAGTCTGCTCAGCAAATGGGATGAGATGTAGTCTCCACAGCAGCTGGATCCAGGGGGCTCCTGGTCTGCCCATCAGGGGGACCCTCATCTTCGGACCACACTGAGGCTGGAGCCTGACTCTGGACTGACTGGGTGGCCTGCTTTGGGGTGCTGCATGTAGGCAAGGACAGTCTGCACCAGCAACCCCTACCCTCACCCCCTTCCCCCGTTCCTTCGCCCCCTCTCGGGGCAGCCGTCACTCTGGAGTGTCCAGGCTTGACTGGCTGTGGCCTCTCCCCACACACCCTGACGACGCCCTCATGCCACTGGGGCACACACAGTGCCCCCACCCCGCTCCACTATCGCACCTCCTGCCTGTGCCATCGGCCCAAACCACCCGTAACCCTCAACATGGGTGTAGTGGAAGCCATTGACCCAGCTCCATCCCCCTGCCCCTCGCCTGTACCAGGGGGCTACCGGCTGCCCCGCTCCTCCAGCTACAGCCCCCTGCAGGGGAGGGCAGGGGCAGAGCTGGACCTTGGTGCAGCTGCTGGAGGGGTTCTGGACGGGGGTGGGACGGCGGCGGAGCGCAGGACGCCCTTAGTGGACTTGTTCTGTGAGACCTGCTCCAGGCCCTGGCTCATCGGTTGGTGGGACCAGGTAGGGCTCAGAGAGCTTGCAGGGAGCAAGAAGGCCTGGTGGTGGCCATCTTGGATAGATGCTGTGGACTCTCCAAGTGTCACTGCTACATCTATGCATGCATTAACAACTCATCTCCTTATTATGGTTATTATGTGTCTCTTTTAATCAAACACTCATGGTGTCAGTTTGTGAATTGTATGTGTTTATATGGGAGAATTGTACAAGGTGCAACATGAGGGCTAATTCATTTTGTCCTGAATTTATGAGGTGAAGGAAGGTTTTGTGGGGCTGACAGTGGCTTTGTGAGAAATTGTAAGTCAGAATATTGGTGAGTGTGTTCCTGTACATAATTTATACATGAATCCACTGAAGGGGAACAGGGGTAAAGGCACAGAGTTTATTAACTCTGCTCAGTTTTTTCGACATTGCAGCAGCACTGTAAACAAAAAGACAATATCACTCTCATTCTTAATCTTCCATATCTGGTCTACATTTCTGTCCTATGAGAATACACCAAGCTGCTTAAAATCTAAGAAATAGCTTTGGGACTGTGTGATGAGTAGTCTCGCTGTCTTTACTGCAGGTACATTGCAGTGTCACATAATGTCCGTTTCCATCCTCCACACCTGCGTCCCACATCCCCCGTCTCTCTCTCCTGCTACCCTGAGGCTGGCCTCAATACAGACTCAAGGAAGCCAAGTATATTGTCAGTGAAGGACAATGCTTATTGTCTCAGGACTGAGTAGATGTTTCTTTTTGTCCCTTTTGTCCTCAGATTTGCCAACATGCTACATCCATAAAAATGTATGAAGTTAGACATTGTGTGAGTTGTCGGGTTTGCATTAGATGTGGTATCATGTCACTGGCTTACCAAAACAAATTCTGGCCTTTCTCTTCTTGTTTTCTTGAAGGACATTTGGCACGTTAGGATATATGAGTTGCTTCTCTGCTGATATGTTTACAGTCTGAATCAATTAAATGTACATGTTATAGTTCAGAGGAGGGTTACAGTTAACATGTGTGTTATTTGGTTATTAATGTATGCTGTTCATGATCATAGACAGTTAGAAAAAATAACGCCTGGGTCCCTCACATATGCAGGTTTATAGGTGTGTGTGTGGTCATGTCTGTGCAGCGTTTGCATGTTTGCTTCATTAGTCAGTGTCAGAGGAAGAGTGTTGTTTGTCCTGGCACTCGGACTGGCACCGTGGAAGTGTTGGTTGGCAGCTATGACTCAGCGTTACAGCATTAGGGAAGGAAAGAACAAGAGAGAGCAAGAGAGAGAGGAGGAGGTTTGGGCTGAGCCTGCTGCCTAAGTGTGCCACTGGGCTTGACTTGCTTTCCTGGCTCCTGATGACTGATTCTGCCTGACTGCTTCTACGATTTGTTGTCAGAGTACCTATTTGCTTGGCCTATCGTGTAACGAGCACCAGTCTGGATGGGATGGGTGGAAAAGAGAGATAACTGAGAGGAAAAGACTGAAAGATAGTGGGAATGCATGAGGTGTGTGAAATGGCAGGAAGGCAAAGTGGAGCCTGTGACAGAGGAGGATTTTGGGGCTCAATAGCTGTGGCGGAGAGTGTTGTTTACCTCAAGAGGGAGGGAGGAGCAGATATAAGCAACAGAGAGACGTACAGAGGAAGACAGCAGAGGAGGGGAGGGTTGACCTTGGTAAAGGTCAGAGACACCTGCCTACTCCCTCAGATTGTCACCCAAGCAGCCACCGCTCTCACATCAAGCTGAAGGACTGACTGTGAGGAGGCAGTTGCCACGGCAACCACTCTGGTTGCCATGGAGATTGTTATGTGTGAAAGATCAGTCAGTAGGACACAGACCGAGGGGTCTCGTCCGAATTGCATTGTGCCTTCACGTGACTTGTGCGACAGGTAACTGTCAAATCACCTTTAACCATAGATATAAAAAAAAAATATTTAACATCTGAGAGAACATTCAAGAACAGGGTTTTCTGTCTGCAGGGATAATGTATTCATTTAATCACATTTGTGCCTGTACTGCAAGGACCCGCAGACTAGTTGTTCATGATTGCCACTGGAGATGTATGGCGACAAATACGTATAAACATGTCACAATACTGCAGCACATAAATAAGCACGCACACTGAATTGGGGCATTGAACAGTATGCTATGAAAAAGAAGAGACATGTTTCATAATTGATTTTCTCACCCTTTAGTGAATGGAGCCAGATTGAGAGTGATAATTTATTTTCTCATATTTGACTCATAGGAATGTTTGTTGTTCTGTATCAGTGCAAATTGAATCTAAAGTACAATGTTAATCCTTTTGAAGGTTTACCTATCTGCCTGTCGCTACATTTTCAGATATGTCAGTAACCCTTTATGCTGCTACTTTGTAAGTACTATTAAAATCACTCACTTCCTGTTTCTGTCTGTCCTACCCTCAGTTCAAGAGGATGTTGAACAGGGAGCTGTCCCATTTGTCAGAGATGAGTCGCTCAGGGAACCAGGTGTCAGAATACATCTCCACTACCTTTCTAGGTAAAGCAAACCTGCCATCCAACCACTGTGAACAACCACTACAGCAAGTCCCTTATAGCTTTTACCCTAGGTCAAGCACAACCATAATTCTTCATCCTGGCTGACTTCGGATTCTTTCCCCCCCAGATAAGCAGAACGATGTTGAGATCCCATCCCCGACTTTGAGGGAGAGGGAGAAGCCCATGTGTCACATCAGCGGTGTGAAGAAGCTCACGCACAGTTCCAGCCTTTCCAACTCCACCATGCCTCGCTTCGGCGTGAAGACTGAACATGAGGATGCGTTAGCCAGGGTAAATACATGTTCGGTGATCTTACTGTGTTTTTATTGTATTTATGTTCTCTTTTTCATTTCCTTTTCCTTGCTGCAAAATATAATCTTTTGGGATAGGAAGATCTTACTGAACTGAAGTAAATAGATAGAAAACAGCCCACCAGAAGCAAGTTATTAGACATGCACACATAAACCAACAATGGGATTACATGTATTTCATATTCTACCTCTTTATGTAAATATAACACATGCATGCATTTCACATGCATTTCTGAACACATTTCCATACCTTTCCTCAACCATCTCTATACCCGACAATGCAAAAATTCACCATTGTAGTATCATGCACATTTGTTGGTTGAATTAAGATGGGTAACAAACTGCTAGATTGTAGTACTAATGTAAATGTTGTCTGTTGCACCTTCAGGAGCTGAACGACTTGAACATGTGGGGCCTTAATATCTTTCGTGTGGCAGAGTTCTCTAATAACCGACCCCTCAGCTGCATAATGTTTGCCATCTTCCAGGTGAGAAAGATTGAGCTTTAACTAGCAATGGATTATATAGTATATCGTGTAACTTGACTTATTTGTGACAATGACCCCCGTGGACTGTCTCTGCTACAGGAAAGAGATCTACTGAAGACCTTTCGGATCCCTGTGGATACATTTGTCACTTATGTGATGACCCTGGAGGACCACTACCATGCCAACGTGGCCTACCACAACAGCCTCCACGCTGCAGATGTCACTCAGTCTACTCATGTACTGCTATCCACACCAGCTCTAGATGTAAATACCACTACTGGTCTGCTAATGACAAAGACACAGCATTACTACAAATACCAAATACACATATAACTTTATTACTTTAACATGCACAGATTTTCACAAATACACAAACACAGTAGTCAAAGGCAATTGTAAAATGCAGTGTAACTGATTATTTTCCTCTTTTCTCTGTCATTTATCTCTGACAGGCGGTGTTCACTGATCTAGAGATACTAGCTGCTTTATTTGCCGCTGCCATCCACGATGTGGACCATCCAGGAGTGTCCAACCAATTCCTTATAAACACCAGTGAGTCAAAATGGGATTAAGATACACACAAACATGAGTTTTAAAGAAGAAAATTGGAAAAACAGAGGAAATCATAATGGCAAGGACAAACAAAAAGCTGGTTCTGGTTCGAATACAACTAACGTGTTGTATGTGACCAAGACAAGTAACTGAGAAAGGTTATAAATGTATAAAAACGACTCGACTTGTGTCAACTCTGTAAAAGTGATTTTAGAGAAACAGGTAGCTAAGATCCACTATTTAAGAATTAGATGAGGTCACTTTTCTGGGTCAGCTACTTTAAAAATACCCTTTCATTTAATTCTACCCAGTAAAGGTTTGTCTTCAATGTTGTTTGAACTCTTTAACTCTTATTTTAAATTTTTGTCACATCAGTCTTTATACATTTTGACTGTTTTCATGTTGCATTTTCCTCTTTAATAAAATGTATTAACTATTAAATCATATAAGGTCATTTAATACTGCACAGACCATTAAGAACTAAGATATATGTAAAGTTTTGTATGTTGTTTTTGTGTGAATTCAAGTACTGACATTTACAAACTCAAATTTTGGTGGTTATTTTAGCTATAACTGGATTATCATATAGTTTCTAATGCATATAATACACTAATCTTATTTGAGAGTCTCTTTTATTTTTTCCTTTGGTACTGCTGTTATCCATCCTTTGAGTGATCAAGCAGACCTTTTTTGTTATATGTATTCATAGTACATTCATCTTTTTAATCTGTAAACTGTGTCGTTTCAGTTGTTAAGCTTTGTTTGCACTCCGCTTTCACCTTTAATCGTCTAAGTAGTTGTAAATTTTAAAACTGTGCCACCACAGTCTGATTCTAACACTGACGGAGAGAGCATGGTGATGCTGAATGAGTGATGGAATAACTGTATTTTTGACTCATATGTGTTGTGTGGTGCTTCCCTCAGACTCAGAGCTAGCCCTGATGTATAATGATGAGTCTGTGTTGGAAAACCATCACCTAGCTGTGGGCTTCAAGCTGCTTCACGAGGACAACTGTGACATCTTCCAGAACCTTAGCAAGAGGCAGAGACAGAGCCTGAGGAAACTCGTTATTGATATGGTGAGTGTTGTCAACGCACTCATTCAGTGTAATGTGTGTAACTACCTTTCTCCATTCTCTTTATTTGGTTCTTAGCTCTTCCATCTTTCTATTTCTTTCTGTAATGCATTCATACCAATTTTATTCCCAGGTTTTGGCAACAGATATGTCTAAACACATGAGTTTGCTGGCAGACCTCAAGACAATGGTGGAAACCAAGAAAGTGACAAGTTCTGGAGTACTGCTGCTGGACCATTACACTGATCGAATACAGGTGAGATGACATCTTCCAGTTAATTTACAAGTAACTTCAATTTACAAATTAACCAAAAGAACTGAACTTTACTAAAGCCCTAATTCAGAGTGCTATAAAAAAGCAACAACGGGTTGGGTTTGAGATGAAGACTAAGCAGGAGGCTGGACAGAACACCAACTCAGGTGAAAACTGATTTATACTTCTGCGTCAAAGTGTGTCACTTCTTCAGGACATGGCTTGTGCGTGGGAGATATGGTCTTTTCATAATTTACATGCCCCTCCTCAAAATGTCATGGTATAGTGTTTATACTTTCTTATCTACAGACAGAGCGGGTCCTCTCCTATGGAGTCCGACATTACATGTTTCTACAGTAGCCCAGAACGGACAAACCAAACACTGGCTCTTAATAGGGCCTTTTGTGGTTTTTGCGGCCACTGTAGTTTCTCCTGCACGCCTGCAATCGGAGGGTGAGGCGAGGGTGTTGCAATCAGCAACTATACAAATGTTAGGGAGTCTCTTATTTTAAAGTATGTTTAAGTAGCTTGGGGATTATAATGCTCCAACAGAGTCCGATCACTGATTCACATCTTAGGATCTGCTTGTTGAGGACTATGCTTCAGTATTTGATTGATGAAGTAGGTGTTACTTTATTTTGTTAATTAAGCCAGTGAGATCTTGTGTGGGGCAAGATTTTGCAGGACGGAAGAGCTGCTCAGTATTATCTAAATTGAGTTTGATGGACTGGAGATCTCAGCCAGGCCTGCAGAAATGTATCTGACCTGATTTGACCCAAGTGTCAAAGATTTGAATCAGAGGTACAGTTCAGTGTCATCCACAAAGGCAAGAATCTGAGCTTTCTTTTAGTGGGTCTGTGGAAAGGAAGGGAGAGAAAAATGCAAAAATGTGCTTTCCCAGATATCCTGTTGTCTGCAAGAGTGCCAGGGAGGAGGTGATTGCTGTTGTTGTCTAAACTGAGGTCAGGAGACTCACAAAACAGAAACAGAGAGATGCAGTGTTGGTTCAGTATGCCAGTCTGAATCTTGACTTGTATCTAAAAAGTGCCTTTATGATAATTCTCTGATTCAAGAGTTCAGGAAAGGAATAAAAGCAATGAGTATGTGGTTGTTGACATTTTACTTGTGAAGAATTCTTCTTCTTCCAGGTGACTTGAAGTCACACAGCCAGATGTCACAAAAGAATTGATGACTGACATCAAGAGAGGGCGTAAAGGGGTCATATGTATACGCATATTTGTGTGGGGAGAGGAGAGAAAGAAGTTAAGCCAGATTCAATACAGGAATAAGTGGTTGAGGATGCCTTTTAAACTTTTTAAATATGATATATGTTCTTACAAAAGTAGGTGATAAAATCATGACCAGAAATGAAAAGGGAGGAGCAGGTGTTGAGGTAAAGTAGCGTCCTAGTTTTAGAGGCAGAGGACTGGATTTTCAAGTTGTGCTAGCAATTAATAGAAGAGAAAGGAAGAAAGAATAAAGAAGTGAGATAGGTCATCAGAAAGCTAGGTTTTAACCACCTCCTTTCAGCTGCTAAAAGATTTGTTTGTTTAAAACACAAATCTTTAGAAGACCAGAGGGACAGAGGAGATTAAAGGCAGATGATTACCAATGTGAATCTGAATTTATTGTTTGTAACTTTGCATATACATGACATATTGTGACATGTGACTGTGCCTTTGTGCAGGTGTTGAGGAACATGGTGCACTGTGCTGACCTGAGCAATCCTACAAAACCCCTGGCTGTGTATCGACAATGGACGGAGAGAATCATGGAGGAGTTCTTCAGGCAGGGAGATAAGGAGAGAGAGCGAGGGATGGAAATCAGTCCCATGTGCGATAAACACACTGCATCTGTGGAAAAGAGTCAGGTAAGTGATCAGTACTGAAATAATAGGCATGTATGGATATGATTCTGTACACAACTGGATAACTGTTAATGCTGTAGGTGGCATGATAACTACAGTGCAGAGATTGATCAGTCATCTCTGATCACAGCAGTCATCCTCATACATTTTTAATGCTGATTTGTAGGGAGTGTTTATATGATGTCAGTCACACTCTTTCTTTTCTGGTTGCAGGTGGGCTTTATTGACTACATTGTCCACCCGTTGTGGGAGACATGGGGGGACCTTGTGCACCCTGATGCCCAGGACATCTTGGACACTCTGGAGGACAACAGGGACTGGTACCAGAGCACTATCCCACAAAGCCCCTCGCCACCTCCTGTGGGCCAGGATAAGGATCTGAACGCCTGTATAGACAAGTTTCAGTTTGAGCTCACCCTCGAAGACAGCTCTCAGAGAGAACAGGGAGACGAGGATGACAAGCCTACACGGAACCATGTGGCACAAGACTGCAGTCAGGGGGAGGAGGAGGGTAAAAAAGATGAAGAGGAAGACATAATGGTAGAGGAGGAAAATGAGGACATAATAGAAGAGGAAGACGAGGTGGCAATGGAGGAAGAAGAGGTGGAAGAGGAGGAGGAGCTGAAAGCTCAGTTGGAGGTACGATCCGAAAAGGAGAGACTTTCTGACACAAGTCCTGTAGAGGAAGAGGAAGATTCTTCTTCACAAGCTGAAGATACATGAGTTCTGCTCCTGTATCTCCCTCCTCACTTGCACACATTATCTTGTTCATCCTTTCAATGGCCAAACCAAGAACAAATAAGACTGCAATGACAATACAGACCTTTAAATATATTTTTCAAAAAGGGAATAAATTAAAATCGCTTAAAGAGAGGGTAATTACACAGCAACTGTAGATGTGGAGTGGTGACAAGTCCTTCGACAGATTTCACAATGAACTTTAGACTTAGAGGAATTTAGGAGAGCAGTAACGATGGGAAACTGAAGACAGCGTAGCACTCTGGGACTGGAATGCACACACATAAACACACATTAAGTGACACACACAAAAAACATAGTAGGAGTAAGTCATGTAGAATACACCAATGCAATGTGTGTACGAGCATGCATCAGTCATGCAGTATAACTGGAGCCCAAATGTACCCCATCCTTTCTTGCAATCGCACAGGCGCGTGCACACACACACACACACACACACACACACACACACTTGACTCTATGTTTTTATGTGTGCATTTACATGAGGGACACGGATTAGTAATGAATCTCTTTGGAAAAAGCCATCTCTTAATGGAGTATTAACTAGTGTTCAGTCAGTATTAGTAATTCATGTTCTTTAGAACCTCAACAGAAATTGTTCTCCTCAGAAAAGCAACACATCCGAGTGACTTTTTTTTCCATTTCTGTCGGAAAGAAAAATAAGAAAATCCACAGAGTTGGAGGAGAAGAGAGGAAGATACCGAAGGAAAGAAAGATGCTGCGATGAAGGGACCGCCGGGTCCCATACCCCTTTTCCCTTTACAAGGAGAGTGCTACTGGTGCAAGATGGCTCTGTGCCTTTCTGAAACACCAGCTTCCTGAATGGAGCTGTCGTGAAGCAATGCATTGTGGGACAGGAGTGTCTGATTTTGTTATAATTTTTGATTGTCTCTTGTTAAAGATCTCTCTTTACTGTTCATGGTATTGTGGTGTGTATCTCACACGTACAGTTTCTGTGGTGATATGTTTTAAGCTGTAAGTCTTCCTTTGTTGCTCTTCTGGTAATATAATAACTCAGAACTCTAGATGCAGAGCAATCACTACCACCACCACAACCACCAGTGGACTCTTTCCAGTTTATGTTTTTTTCTTATTAGAATGATTTTTTTAAACTTTCTGAGAATAAGCCATGTGATGCTTTGAAGCATAAGTTTTGCCTATTTTCTATTTGACAGTTGCTAAATATGTTGAAGGGATACATAATTATTTCATCAGCAGAACAAATTTTCACTCGCCATCTCAAACCCACTTGCACTGTGTGTTTATGTCTCCTCATACCCAACGATTCTCACCAAAGTAAAGGATGAGAAACTTCAGTGGGTGAAGTTATTGAAGGAACACAGATGAATAAGAAAATCAGGGAGGAAGAATGTCAGGGGAAAGAAGCGTGACTTGGCCAAAAGGTGGTCTGGCAGTCCCTAATCATCCTTGTTATGTTTGATGCTTTTTTGCCTTAATGTCAGATGCAGGATACATACCTGCCAGTATGTAGATTTATAAGATATATAATAGATATCCTAGCATATTTATATCACGTCTGTATGCTTATTTCTGTGAGTATCAGTGTGTCTCTACACAATGTATCCAGCATTGCATTTGGAGGGGAAAGGGAAACATTGCTGCCAATTAGTCGTTATGTTGTTGCTGTGCTCGGACCAACATAAAGAATGTGTTGTTTTTTTAATCAGGACGGTAAAATGACTCATAACTACCTTGAGGTATGCAGAGGAAATAAGAAATGGGAGTTAAGATTTTTCTGCCAATTAGAACGAATAGGGATGTCCTTTGTTTGGATCTGACCAGATATTGACTTGTTGACACGATGGAGTTGATACGTGTATGTGTTTGTTTGCGTGGCTTATTGTGTTGTCATGAGTACGCGAGTGAGTAACAGAAAGAAAGGGCAGAATGCTAAAGATATTGTCATAAGTGTCATTGTTCCCTCACTGGCATCACCACATCCTGTTGAATGGTATTCAGGATTTGATCAGCACAGCTTAAATAGGTCACAGTTTGTTTAGGTGTTTGTTTTTCACAGGGTAAAAAAAAAAAAAAAAAGAACATGGGTGTGGTTCTTTTGAAGGTAAGAGCAAGTTTCTGCAGGTCAGTAACTGAACTTATCTGAAGACACCACAGCTCGGTGCAACAGAAGCCTGTGTGTTTGACCTGCTCTGTCGCAGGATGGAGCAGAGCTGCGGGGCCACCACACAGGCTTTCATTTTGTGGAATGGGAATCCAGGATTACTATTGCAGTTACTTAAATAAAAGATTCCCATATGCATTGGCCTTTTACTTTAAAGATGTTGCTTTGTTTTTGTGGCTTCTTGTTATGTCATAAGCTATAAAAACATTAATATTTAATTGCCATACAAACACAATACTGTAGCAATTGTTTCTTATTAAGAAAATTATTCAATTGATTGATTGCTGCCATTCTTTTTAAATGATGAAAAGAAAACCATGGGAAGTGTTTTCTTTGAACAGTTTGTGTACAGTTTATTTTTATATCATTCTGGTGGATGGTCTGGAAAATGAATCATGTGTTGATGATAAAGCTATAAGCATTACCACTCTTGTATATAATGTAATATTGGACTGTAAATTATAAATTTATCCAAGTCATAATGATTGACAAATAACCACTTAAGGTTGTTAAGTGAACCACTGAAGCAATGCAGGCCACATCCCCACCTTTTCATTCTCTGATTATGTTTTTGCTCAGTTGTGCTAACATTCTGTCACATTTTTTAACCGTCCACATTTATTGTTAAAATCAAATATATTTGTACCAGCACTTTATTCCATCAGGTTTTGAGGCAAACAGTGTGTTTCAGGTGTACAGTCTGTGCTGGTGGTTTGGTCATTGGCGGTCACCTGTTAATTATATTCCATTAGGCCAAATCACAAACTTTCATTGTGCAGTAATCATTGTAAACCCCTTTTCTAGAGGCATAATCAAACAAACTAGTCATTCTCTATTAACAGTCCATGTGAGATTGAACTTATTTGATAAAGTCTGACTGATAAAGTCAAATGTAAGCTGATGTAGTCACACAGGATGTGACATGTTCTAAGGAAATAAATGTGTCCTTGTCTAACTTGGCCATTTCTAGTACTATCACCACCTCTGTTTCTTAGTAACTTTAATCACTAGCCTGATAGCCTAAATGTCCGTCCAATGGTGGCCTAACTAGCTGGTTCCCATCGGGTTGCTGTCAGGTTACTTTGTCGCAGACTGACTCCCTCTGTGAATAATTCTCTGGGCTTTAATTCATGTGTTTGTCACAAGTAAGAAAGATTATTCAAGGGAAAAAACATGAAATGATTGTAATATTTGTAAATGATCTTGCTGTAATGTGTAAAATGTGTCCAAGTTATTTTTTATTATATTATTTTTATGAAAGTTTTTCCTCTTAACAGAGCTGAGGTGTCATTTTGTGAATAAATGCATTTAATAAGCAAACATCTATATATAAAACAATATTATAGTATATCAGTATATTTTTCTTTTATTTCACTGTTCGGTACTGTAAAGTGTGTTAAAAATACAAATAAAGTAAGATTTTTATATTAAATACAATGCCGTTGTCATGTTTGCTGTTATTGTGTTTGGTATGTCAGCATTTTACATGTTTGTGTGTATTTATTGCATTAATGCAGATTATTTATTAGTCCAGGAGCTGGTAGTATAATCTATATAATTCTTACAATAGCAAGACTGTATTATTAACTGCATATTGCAGGCAACCTCTCTTGGTCCATAGGAGCTCCAGACATCCACACTGGTTTCTAGCAACTGTTGCGTAGAGACCTATTTGAGGTATTTGTTCCAGTATAGGTTTGAACCCACATACGCACATCCTATTTTTAACACTGCCCAGTTATGTGTACACGAGACAAAAACTTTAAATAAAATCTTTAACACCACAGATGATTTCATAGACTATGTTCGCAGACCGTGTATGGTTGAAGATTTTTGAGATACATCTGAATGAATACGGCGGTTTTTAAATAGCATTCGTCCACTTGGACCTTATTTACTTGTTTGCTTTTACGCTAATATTAAATGTAGTGTAAGCATGATGATGTAAACAGTGACGACTACCTGCACCTGTCTGAGTCGGGCATGAGATGGCTGCATCCTCAAGTATACCCAGAACCCTCTGCTTCAACGTGCCACGGCTCTCCGCCAATCACAAGGGCTAAACAGAGCGTCGTCCAATCAGAGTGAAACAAGACAGATAGGTGGGGATATGCGCAGGCGCATTGCCGTGACGGAACTAGGCGCTGTGTTGACCGGTAATGATTAGCTATTAGCTTGTTCTTAGAAAATATTGTAATGATTTTTTTTTACCTACGTTATTAACCTTGCACACTAGAGGTATTATGATGTTATTGTAACGACATAAGTACAGTTGGTCTTTTGCTTTTAAGTGTTAGTTAGTTTATGGTTTGCTTTTAATCTTAAGCTAAATTCGCTATTTAGCATTAGCAAGCTAATTTGTTAGCCCTCGGCTAACGAACAAGAAGTCATTGTATTTTGTAAAAATAACAAGAACAAGCGTACACACTTAATGTGGTTTTGTTGCTTTTATTAGTTCGTAGCGTTACCTACCCTGTCACGTCGTGTTTATAATTGCTACAGTGGGTTACCTGTATTAATCTGCGAAGTTTGTGTGATTGATCGGCGGTTCAGGTGCAGTTGAACCATGTCCAACTCTGAGCCAGTGTGGAGCTGCCCTGTCATGAAGCCCTGTCAGTACCTCCTCCTGCTGCTGCTGCTGAGTGTGGGAGTCTCGGCGGTGGAAATCCAACGCCCTCGCGGTGTCCCGCTATCGAGTAAGCGTTTTTCATTTAATTACAACTAATAAGACAGATTAATGAGTACAGTTGTGTATTTTGCGGTTGCAGTTGTCTATAATTTTGGAGCACTGACTCTTTTCTTCTGTTCAACTTCAAAAGAACGGCAGTTCTATGAGGAGGGAAAACCTTTTACTTGCCTGGATGGTACCCGCACTATTCCCTTTGACAGAGTGAATGATGACTACTGTGACTGCCACGACGGTTCTGATGAACCAGGTGTGTATATGCTGCATGCTGGAGACTCCTGTACTACCGTCCAGTACTATTTTCTTCCCCACAGTGCAAAGAATTAAATAAAATAGCTAGTGGTAAATGTAATAGGTCTGCTTAGTCTGTATAATTCTACCTTTGCTAGGTCATGATAATGTTGAGTGGCTGTTTTGTATATTTAATAACACTTTTATTTGCAGGTACGGCTGCTTGTCCCAATGGTAGCTTCCACTGTACCAATGCAGGTTTCCGACCAGCCTTCATCCCTTCCTCCCGCATCAATGACGGAATCTGTGGTACGAGTTTTAAACTGTGCTTATTATTTCTTCTCAGGTGTCGTGTGTGTTTGCAGGATTTTTGTTTAATATCTGGGTTTCCTATACAGACTGCTGTGACACCACAGATGAGTACAACAGTGGTGCAACCTGTCAGAACACCTGCAGGTGGGAATGTTTTTGGATTATAACTGTAATAACTTGTGTACGATATGTAGTCTAAGCCCAATTTGGCCATAGGGACTGCACATGCTTACGTCCACATTGAGTTTCCAGAAAATGTCAAATGTTTTGTTTTTGTTGAATAAATCTTTTTCATGTCATGTGATTTGCAGGGAGTTGGGGCGCAAAGAGAAGGAGAGCCTGCAGAAGATGGCAGAGATCGCTAAGGAGGGCTTTCTGCTTAAACAACAAATTATCCAGGAGGCCAAGAGGGGCCTAGAGGATAAGAAGGTGTGAATGACAAGAAATCCTTTGGTATTTGTTTGAGTAATAATCAAGATCCAGAGCTTTAAAACATGGATTATGACTGTGTCAAATATGTTTTTATACGGATATGCTAACACTTCAGTAGAGATGTCGAAGGTGCCCACACCAAGTATTGTATGTCTGGCTATGTCACCTATGTTTTGCTTATTCTACACAGAAAAATGAAAACAGTAGTTAGAGTGACCTTATGTTGAGCACATCCTACTAATTCACCAGAAACTAGATGCTGGCCATCTGAAATCTCTTCTAAAAAACAAACACTTCAGCTAATTTCAGAGTAACAAAAGATGCCAAGTCTTCCAAGTTGACAGTGAGGTTATTGGTGTCAAACAGTTGATATTTTCTCTCAAGTAGATGTTAGCACGTTGTTTCATAAATTGAATGAAGTTTTCAGATATTGTGTATATCTTATTTATTTAAATGTATTATTTTGATTTCTCTCAACAGGCCAAACTTGCAGATGTTCAGACCAGTAAGAAGGATCTGGAAGATAGGGTGGAAGCTCTAAGAATTGTAAAGGAGACTGCAGAGCAGCCAGAGAAAGAAGCGAAAGAGCGCCATCTGAAGGCCTGGGAAGGTAAATTAAAATGTGAAACTATATCAACATCTATGGATTGTACAGACCATCACCTTAGAGATATTATAGTGTAGTTTATTCAATTTTTTTTAAGCTAGAGTAAGTTGCCTTAGTGCCACATACACTAGTAGTACTAGCACTAGCTTCCCTGATGCAAGACATGTAGTAACACAAGAAGTATGTGTGTGATCAGAATCACTGCCAACTCAACACAAAGGGACATGTTAATTTTGTTTCAGAGGAAAAAGCTGTCATTCGCATGGAGAAGGACAAGGCTAGAATGGCTGAGGTGTTTCTTGAACTGGATGATGATGCAGATGACTTGTGAGTATCTGCACCTTCCAGAATTGTTAGCACCCATTAGGGAAGATTCACAGTGTTTTGAAGCTTACCAGGGACAGCGTTTAAGAACAAAGTTAAATAAAATAGTGCAAAGATAAAATGCACCGTCTGTAAATGTGGAGCCGTTTTTATTTTAAGTTGTCTTGTTGCTCTGTACCTTATTTATCCAGAATACTGCCACACAGCAGAGACCACTTTCTTGAATTAAAAGTGTCAGACAAAAGATAGTGTCTTGGAAAAAATATTTTATTTTTACACCTTTCATGTGTACATTTTGAATGATCATTAGAGTGACAATGATCCAGTGTTTTTGTAGCCTCATTGACTCACTGGTAGAAATATAGAGTTGTTACTATAACTAGTGAATTATGCATTTTATTTATTTTTTTATCTTAGTATCTCAGTGGCTGAGCTTCTGTCCCATTCTGAGCTTGACCCAGATTCAGATGGTTCCTTCACAGAAGCAGAGGCCCAGGTATTGTATTATTTCTATAAAAACACTGCTGTTAAAGTGTAACTGTCATTAAATGTGAATATAAGGAGCTGAATAAATCAAAATATCAATCTTGTCTTTTGGTTTATAAAGGGACTGTTAGGAGGAGTGGACAAAGTGGACACAGTAGCATTTGAGTCTGTTTGGAATAACATCAAGGAAAAATACATATCGGAGGTAAGAACCAGATGGTTAATTTTTAAATTCGATGTGTGAAAGCCTCTGCGCCTCTAAATGTGTGACTTTCTTGGTATCAGGCCAATGCAGACACCCCAGCACCAGTGGAGACTCCACAGGAGGAGATGAGGGAGCCAGTCTCCGACAATGACTCTGAGCAGTACCCTGAAGATGACATCCCAGAGGAAGAAGAGGAGGAGGATGAAGAGGATGAAGATGATGACCCAGATGAGGCAGACTATAAGGTAAGTCCACTGAGCCTCTTAATCAAACTTATGTTGGATGACTCTCAAGTGTAATTTAGTGAGTCACTTTTATCTGTGTTTGATAAGCAGAGCCCTCCTACGACACAGACTCAAGAAAAGAAGGATGACGATAATGAGGGGACTATGCCACCCTACGACCAACAAACGCAGACCCTCATTGATTGTAAGTGTGTGTGTGTGTGTGTGTAAAACTGAGTGACTCAGCCAGTTCTCTGCTATGAGTAAGTGAGTCACACTATAAAATACCAGAAGAAAAGCACAGATGTGACTGTGTACCTATTAGTTTGAACTTTAATGTGCTATCTTCAAATTAATCTCTCATTCCTGCAAATAAATTGTTGATCAGAAGAAGAAAGCAATTTATTGAACAGCTGTGTTGCTTTTGTATGACTGAGATCTATTGCTTGTCTTTTGTAAAAGCATCAACAGGATGGCGTGATTTGCTCAGATGTTTTGTATGCAAGAACACTGAATTTACTTTAGTGTATATTTGATTCCCAGCTGCTCAGAAAGCCAGGAATGAGTTTGATGAGGCTGAGAGAGCTCTCCGGGAAGTGGATGATCAGATCAGGTAAATACTAAGCCTGAATATAAAGGAGCTTCTTTGCCTATAATGCAATCAATGTTTATTACCGCAACGGCAGTCCAACTTTCAACAGGTACTATGGATGATTTTGTTGCACTATTGGATTACATTTGATTTTCTTTTTGTCTGCAGGAACCTTGAGAAGGAAATCTCCTTTGACTTTGGACCCAATGCTGAGTTTGCCTACCTCTATAGCCAGTGTTATGAGTTGTCTACTAGCGAGTATGTGCACACTCTGACTTTGGAAAGAATTGTCTTGTATTTATTAATATTTGTTATAAGTTCCTACTTCCAAGGGAATAATTTCATCTTTTGTTTTCAGGTACATCTACAGGCTCTGTCCATTCAATAGAGTATCCCAGAAACCCAAGTATGGTGGCTCAGAAACTAACCTGGGGTATGAGAATATCTATGTTTGGTAATATTTTGTCTTTTGCACTGTGTTTTGTCCTTATTTTACTCATCCTGTACGTTTCATAATTTTCTTTCTGTAGAACATGGGGGAAATGGGCAGGTCCTGAGGATAACGTCTACGCTATGATGAAGTATGAACATGGAACAGGGTGCTGGCAAGGTCCAAACAGATCCACCATGGTGAGTCTCTGCACTGGCTGGATTTTTTTTGTTCATTTAATTTTTTCACCTTTTCTTTAATTTTTCTTATTGGGCAAAGCAGAGAAAGACCAAATAGACCTCCTTTGTCTTTCAGGTTAAGTTAACGTGCGGAAAGGAGACAGTTGTGACGTCTACCTCAGAGCCCAGTCGATGTGAGTATCTGATGGAGTTCATCAGCCCTGCTGTCTGCCAGGAGCCCCCAAGTCTGGATTTCGGGGCTCACGAGCATGAAGAGCTCTAGAGGTACTTGGTTTGTGAGTAACTCTTTGTAACTTTGTTGGCAAACCTTCAAAATGAATTGGGAGTGTGGTGCACATACAGTATGGTTTACTGCAGGACCATATCTTTTCCCCAGTAGAATCTTAAATTGGTCCTACAATTGGGCCATGATTGTATAAGAGTCATGTTTTTGTGCAAAAAATGCTTACGCAAGCAAAATAAAAATCACTGACTGTCAGAAATCCATAATGTGACAGTTTAGTGTTTCAACAAGACAACCGCATGTGCAGTTACAGCCTCCCTTTAGAAGAAAAGCAGGACAGCAGCAAGAGAAAGGTAATGGAAATTTGAGTTCATTGTAGGTGTTAAGATAGTAGAGGAGTAAGAATGAATAAATTATAATTTAATGTTGCAGTATATGGATGAGAAATGCATACAGCAGTATGTTGTGCCACATTTTCTTTGGATACATTATTGTTGAACTGGGTACAGTACTGTGATAGCATCTGCATCCATCCTTTACTGCAGAAATCTTGAAATGTTTCTGATGGTTCAGCCTTTTGCAAGTTCTGAATATTCAACATTTTAAATTTGCTGAGGCTGTCTACACAATTCCGTTGAATTGAAAGCAGTTCGTAATGGTTTACGTACATATAGTATTTTGTTTATTCTTTCTTTTTAGAAAAAAAAGGGTTCATCCTTGATATTGTAGATACAGAATTTTCTTTTTTTAATGTGTTGTGGATCTAAATCAAAATAGCATCTAACCCAAATATAAGCACAGTGGATACATCACTGATGTAAACGCTTTGTCTTGGGAATGAAACCTACAGGGATTAATTGCAACTAAATTGTCCTTCCCTTTAACATCTAGGAAGTCATGACTTAGGCAAACAAGCTATTGAAATGAACGTGTATGCGCTCTCACTCTTGCAGGTTTTTCTTGAGGGACCACAGTCACTGCAGCAACATGGAAGTTGCCATGCCGTGAGCGCCACCACAATCAAGAATAAACAATGGAAATTCCAATTAGTTGTTATGTTGTCTGCACATCCAATTTTCGCTAGTCCTTGTTGTCTTGTGTCCCTGATTTGTGTCACATGTAGTCATTCCATGGTTTTCAAATAAACATACTTTTATTATATTCCAAACTTGTCTGTTTTTTTAACTTCAGTATAGCCATTTTGTTGTAGCTGTGCTTTTAGTCAATACTGTTGTTGTAGTAGTAGTAGTAGTAGTAGTAGTAGTAGTAGTAGTACAATATATTCTTCCGTAATTTCTTACTCTAAAACCATTTAGCATAGTACTTAGTCTGCATTAATTTTATGCATATGAAATAGAATGTAAGGAAGCATGTTGGTATCAAAAGAATTTCTAATCTTTGTATGTGCCAACAAACCAGTCGTAGTGAATGTAAATACATGATGGTAAAAATAACATCTTTTTTTGCTCATAACATTCAATAATAGTGTTTTGACAGTCAATAAAACATGGGTCACTCAATATTTGTAACTTTTATTTTATTTTTTTCTGGCATGTAAAGTACAAATAATTAAACAATTCCATGAAAAAGTCTTCAAGCGTCTTCAGCTGAAATCCCAGTAATAAATATCCTAGACTAAACTGAAAGGTTTATTTTTTTTTCCTTTAAATTTTGACATTGTTCATTTGGTCATGTTTGGAAGTATGAGATTTTGTATTTCTCCCACTGACATTGGTGTCAGCAGAACTGTTTTGATCATTTTCACCTTTGATTTGTTCTACCATTCCAGGAAAATGTAAGAAAAACATCACTAAGTCACTGCGTCCCCTCTTCTAAATAAATAGACACAAAATACAGTTGGTTGAGAAACAGAAGGACCACTCACCCCTTTACTACCCTAGAGACTCCCAAGAAAACCTTCCTGCAGCTTTTCAGAGCTCTGCCATATTTCACCAGAGCTCTTGGCTGGGTTTCAAAATGCATATTGGTGCTAAAAAAACATCTTTGCTTAAATAGCACAAATTGAATATTGAAATTGATACAGATGATCTCAGTATTACAATGCTTTTACAGAACCTGTTAATATCTTTTTTTTTTAAATCAACCCATCAGCATAAACAGGAAAGCATCTTGAGAGCGTATCAAACCTAGGACATCCCCTCTGTTCCTGGCTAATTGCTGGACCCTCAAATGGCCGAAGCCTCGCTACAGGGGCTTTGCCATGTCTCAGGGGTTCACAGAGTGGTTGAAAAAACAAGACTGTGATTAGATTAAATAATTAAAAGATTTTCATTTAACAAGACAAACAGAACACAGGCAGTAAAGGCATAACATCTAGCACACAGCATGTATGTTTATACACTTCAATTAGTTAAATATAGCAGTGCATTCTTTGACTATGGAGAACGTTTCCAAATCGTACTTCTAAAGCTGTTTTCTATTTGTCCCCCTTTTAAGAAACGAAATGGTGTAACCACAATTTTGGCAAACTTAAAATCTTTTAAACTTGCAAATATAATGAAATAAACCATAAATATACACAAAACATACTTTATACGAGGCAATAATAATAATCATAATAAATAGTTTTTAAGTTAACAATAAGTTAAAACTACAAGCTTAAAGTCGCCCAAATAATACAAGTTTGTTGGCGCTATTTTGAATTTTTTCTGTTTAAATTATTTTATGTTGCAACAAAAGCTACCACAGACTTTTACAAACACAATTGAACACAGTTTGATTGAAATAAAAAAATCTAACTAAGTCTAAAATCTGCATACACTGTAAAAACTGCAACTAATTAAATAATGGAAGAAAAATAAACTTTACCCAATCAATGCAACCAAACATAATCTTTGACCCATGTGTGTTCTCTATGGCAACATCAACAACACAAATACGCTCATTTAACAAGTGAGTCTTGATATGTAAATGAAATCAATAAATTACAGGAAAAAAAATGATATTTGAAATTGACATGGGCTAAAACTGATGATATATTAGACAGTATTCCTTTCAAGGTCATTGAAAATTGCTCTATTAAGTCAGCCAGATATGCAGTTTGTTTGAGCTTGCATGGTCAGAGCACAAATTAGGGACTGAGGAGGTGATTATGGAAATTTATAGATCAGAGCTCTCATTACTTGTTTGATTTTCTTATGATAATGAGTCTGTTCATTTTAATGTTTTTGTCTGAACTTTTGCTCCTTTCACTATTCTGCAAACCTTTTCAGTGTGACGTTTAATTTCTTTTTTAAAAAATATATATCATTTGTTCTCAGTCAATATAAAAACAAAGCACATTGCACTTACTGTTCCATAGGAAAGTTTTTTTGTCTTTTTAAACGATTATTGTTGTTGCTCAAGCAGTGTAGTACTGTTTCCTGCCATGGTCCTTGGCTCTCCACTGTAGGTGTTGGTCTTTGTATAGACTGTGTATGAAAGGTCATTTTGGGCTGTGGGTTTGGTTTGTGGGTTGACTGTACTACATCGGACATGGCTGGGTAAACAACTCCAGTTGCAGTTCAATGTGGCCTGTTATCTCAGTTGCTCGTAACGTCTATCACTGGTCTCACCAAGTGCTCAGTCCTACGGTGCTCTCTCTTGGAAATTGCTCGACCCAAAATAGCTAGATTAGTCCTCTTTGTGGTCGGCTTGGGACACAAAAGCAATAATCATTCAGAGTATTTTGGGGGATGAAACAGTATGAGTCAGATCAAAAGATGCCAGAGTAAGTGGTGCAATGTTAACTGTTTTAAAGGATTAAATTGGTCACAAGACAAAGCAGATGATATAAATATTGGGGTAAATACATTATATGGATGCATACAATTTTTCCTTTGTCAAGAGGTGAACTGATTCATCATAATTTATTTTTGATATGCCTTTTTTATCATCCGGTGTCTGCATGAAATGTGTGCAAATGGGATTGCGTGACACTGTTTCATTGTAGCATTTGGTTTAGTGGTTTTAGGATTTACAAATGCAAACTGATATGCGCAACTTAGATATTTAAAAGTAATGATAACTGAAATTGTAGAGGGTCCTTATTCAATAAATAACATAGATTTGTACAGCAATTACTCAGGGAATAATATAGTTAGTCTTAATTTATCCTTCTTGGTACTGACTTGCAAAGCAATTCTTTGGCAAAAATCAAATCTATCTAATCATAAAGAATCATGCTCAGTGTTCATTATGAATCTGCATCACGGTTTGAATCTGCGGTTTACCTTTTTATTTGCAAGCAGCTATTCAGTTTTTCAGCTGGGCAATGAGCCGGTCTCACTGCAGCTTTGTCTGGGATTCTCAAGTCAAAGAACTTCATTTCACTGCACCATCATTGAAGCAACACTGTACACAACTTTAGGACAAGAGATGGGAGTGTGTCTAAGCACTCAAAATTATAGATGTGTCGGTGAGGTTATACCCCTAACTGTTTAATTTGACTCAAATTTGTTTTTGTTAAGTTTGTTTCAATTGTCTTGATATGGTCGAACGGTTAAGTTTGTACGAGATACAATGTTCCTTCGCCCCCTCCCTAAATCCCCACCCATACACCGCATGCTTACTCCCCCTTGCTCTACAAAGATCAGAGGGTTTAAAATAAAGCCATGCGATGTCCCAATTTTTCCAAGCTTAAGAATCTGTAAAAATTCAGCACAAGGTCTTGTTCCTTTGTATGTATAAAAATAGATTTATCTCTAATGTAATCCTTTCAAAGAGATCGTCCTCTTTGGCTAACACAGCGTCATTTAGAAAAGCAAAAGCAAAAATGTCTTGAATATACTTGACCTTATTTCATCTATTATCATGTGCAAATGTCTTGATATTTCTAAGACATTAGCTCTCCCCACGGTAAATCTTAAGTCTGGTTTGTAACAGACATTTCGACTAGACAGGTTGGCCTTTTCATCAAGTGTGCCATAAATAATTTCCATGCAATTGGGTTGGGGATATTTTGAGAAATGCTATTTTTGTGGTAGTGCCAAACAGATCTGAAGCAAATAAATAAATACCTTTCTGTTGTAAACTTAGGTATAATTATGACACTTATTTGCAGGCTTGATGTTGTACAGTCATCTTTTGAGAGGGCAGGAGTTCTAAGTTTCTGGGAAGCTTTTAAGAGAATAGAGGGGTTTTTAAATAAAACTGAGGAGCATTTGGCAAAGCTGGAGGAACTGGTAATCTTTTCTCCTCAAAGGATCAATGATAATTTTAACATTGCCAGATATCATCGCTCACATACGTGACTCTAAGACAATTTTAAATGTTCAGTCATTTGGGACTGTAGTCCTCTTATCTGCTCTATGCATGTTGTTGCTGTAGAGCTCATGTGTTCTACTGAATGGTAACTCAGACCTCATTTATTCTGGGAGCTTCTATGTGTTCACTAGACTGAAGAATAATACCGGTGCTCTTGAGTTTTTGCTCATCTGTGTTACTTCTCTACAGACCTGCCTAGACCATTTTTCAGTCCATGGGGTGTGTTGTTTAACAATGTATTCAGAGTTGCTTTTTGCAGCTACTTGGATTGTAATTATATTCAAGATATCCAATTCCCCAGTTCCATTTATCTAAATTAATCTGTAGACATAGCCTGTCCTGAGCACAGTAACATTAATGATCAAAGGATGTCAGCAAGAACGATATAATTCGGTTGTCTTTCACATCTTGTTTGCCTATTTCTCTTGACCTTTTCACACTAAATGGCCTTTCAGTTAAAGGGATATCACACCAAATCATGGCTGACAAAGCCATACAAAGTAAAATGGCCTTAGTGTGTGTGTGTGTGTGTGTGTGTGTGTGTGTGTGTGTGTGTGTGTGTGTGTGTGTGTGTATGTGTGTGTGTGTGGAATAAAATAAATGATGCAAAAAGTGAAAAAACACCGGTATTTTCCTTTGATGTGGCTGTGTTATGGTGAAACGGTTTTCAACTTGCACTTGTCACGCTCTCGCCCACCAGAGAATTATTAATGAACACTGTCACCATGGGAGCACTGCCACTCTGCTTTAAGTTCACAGATAGTCTGCTTGTGAGAAATTAGAAGACATACAGGAACTTTCTTTGTTTTTGTGGACTAAATATGTATATATCTTCTAGTTATTGAACAGTTTTTCTGTGATATATAAGTGTACTATTGTGTTGTTCGGTGTGAGACTGGGAAAGAGTGATTCTGATGGCCTTCGGACTACTCTTTTCTGTGACCAGTATTCATTGGTTAACCTAAATCTTATTGGGTCTGAGCTGACAAGCTCATATAGGGTAGAGAATCTGCCTTTACGCTAGGCACCACCTAATGCAGGTCAGGAAACAGTAGTCAAAGTTTCTAGAAAATGCTTACATACTCGGCTATTATAACCACCTTAAATATTGAATATATAGTTATATTTTAATAGACGTATATAAGAGAACACTGTTTTTTAATTTCATTTTCTTTGATCTAAAAAAATCGCTGATTCAAAATGCCCAAGTGTAAAAAAGTGACTACATCCTCTCCAGCAAGATAATGGGAGAGATGGTGGGATAAGAGTTTGGGTAAATTGCACATATTCATTCATTTAAATTTTTGATCGTTTTGTTCATCAGTTGTCATTATTTGCCTGAATTCAATCAAAGCACTCAGTACACATTCTCTGTCACATTCGTTAGACTGTCTCCTAAATAGATAGCTCTTGCCCCTACCCAACAAACCACTACGTACCCCTTCTAATTCAATCCAGGCAAATATAGGGAAGGACTAGCATGTTGTGTAAAGAGAAAAGAAAAACTCCACTAGTGTGTTTGTTTGAAACTCTGACTTGTGTATGCTTGCGTATGGATATGTTTGGTTATGTGTGTGCGTGTTTGTGTGTATCTGCATGTCTGTGTTTGCAATAATATATTATGAATTTGTGTGAGAATGTGTCAGAGAGAGAGACTCAGTCCAGGCCCATGTAGAGTGATGGCACAGGGAGCACAGGTTGCTCTCCCTGCAGGCTGAAGGAGCTGGTGCCAGCAGCCTCTCTTTCAGGCCTTGTGCTGCTTGCTGGTCTTGAAGGAAACCTGCAGCACGCGGTCACCCAGGCGGTAGCCATTAAGGCTAGCGATAGCCATGGCGGCTTCGTCGTAGTTGGTCATGGTGACAAAGCCAAAGCCCTTACATTTGTTGGTGGTGAAGTCACGGATGACCTTGACGTTGGTGACAGCACCGAAGGGCCCGAAGAGCTGCCACAGGACGCTCTCGTCCGCCTCGGGGGACAGGTTGTATACAAAGATGCACCATCCGGCTCCAGTTGGACCAGTAAGGTTGACCCCGGCCAGGCTGGTCATGCTGTCAATGGTGATGGGGGAGAATCTGGGGAAGAGAGTAGGAGAACTACCATGGGTGTCATTCTGAAGTTCAACACAGCATTCAGTGCTCTATACTGTCTCTTATGGGTATTTTTCTCTCTGAGAAATGATAATGATTGTAGTCGGGTATAGAGTCGGGGGACCCCATCTCCATCCCCTCTGCTGTACAGTAAGTAGATAAATATGTGTGGGCACCACAGTGGCTCCAAACTACCTGCTTTCATACAAAATGACACTGTGTGCCCTGAGACACAGACACCCACACAATGTGCATAATTCTCATTTTCTCTGCTGACCAAAGCCTCTGTAAGAATTAAACACATGAATCACAATGTTCAACAAAAATCACAGTATTGAACAAAACACAGAAACCTAGAGAGGGATGAAAAGCAAATTGGAATCAAATCATACACAAACTGGAGCAAACAGAGGAGACGCAAACGGAATCTGGTATGTCCATGCTGGTGAAAAAAAGGGGACATTAAAGCAACTGAAACTGACAATGTTAGTTCATAAATTAATACATATAAATTATTTCTATTAATTAAAACAAAAGAACGAAAAGGTTAAACAAAGCCATGCCAGAATACCCTGCTGTTAAAAGGCTGCATCATTGCTTATTGCAATTACAGATAGTATTTTGTTGTCGGGGCTGCTTCTGTAACATGGTTAAATGGGCAGTGGGTTGTAAGAATTATGGCCATTATATCTGATTTCGAGATGAAGTCAGCAGGTGGTATTCCAGGCACTTTGTTTGAGGTTTTATTTTGGCATGGATGCTTTTGAAAGTACACCATTTACCTCTTGACTCCGTAGCTGGCGTTTAGTAAATTGTCGAGTCTGCAACGCAAGAGGGAGAATGAAGGGGATGCAGAAGTTAGTTATGAGATCTACAAGGAAGGGGGGCTTTCAGTTAACAAGTTGCTCCTTCACCAGCTGGCCTCCAGAGGGCATCCTTCACTGCAACGCAGTCCCAAACCATCCAACCTCAAACTGATGGCTTGTAAAATGTGAATATGTGTCTCAGCTGGTATTTATTGTTAAATGTTGTTGTTTAAGCTCTAAAATAGACTCCCCTTTAATATTTTAAATAGTAAACAAATCCTGTATCCTAGGTCATTTCACATCTACTGATTAAAAAAATTAACCATAAGTGAGCATTCCAACCTGAGAGGGTATCTACAATTGTTTGTGAGGTTTCATGAAAATATTTAATACTGGAAGCCTTTGACTTTAAAACATTTTGAACCTTCAAAATTACCCATGTAGATGTGGCCAACATCTATCAATTTCAATCTTTATGGTGCCTCCAATGACTATATAGTATAGGCAAAAAGGTTCAGTATTATTATTCTTAACCCAAGATTTATTTAGCTTTAGTTTTTTATTATATTTGGAAAAATCTGGTCTCTTACATTGGTTTTGAGCTGTTATTTGGATCTGGTCCCTTTCCAAGTGAAGGGATCATGCTGCAGTTTAAAAGAAAGTCAGAGAAAAAGAGTGAGAAGGAGGGACAATCCAGTATTGCCTATTCCTTCTGTACTATAAAGCAAATAATGTTGCTTAAAGGAACAGTTCACAGAAACGTTGTGTTAATATTGACAGAAAAGGTTTTTTTTTGTTAATGAATGTTTTCTATTACACAATTTACCTTATTATAAAACCAGACCACATTTGCTGTATTTAGGGTGTGCCACTTCATCTGATTTTTCTTGCATATTTACTCTTAGCTATGGGTGGTATATAATGGTGTAGTTGAAGCTTGATAATTGTCAAAGAAAATCTTTTATAGACTTGACTTTGACTGTCCTCAGTAATGACTAGTAAAGTCTATATCATACTAAAACAATGAAATGTTACACTTAACACTTATCATTGTAAAATTGTGGGATATTGAGTTCGCTTAAGCAAGGCAACACAGCAGGATGACCTGTGATTTGGTCTTGAAACAGTAGCTTTTTACAGACTATCTTGTGATTAACTCACAGGTGGTGTGAGGTTGGGAAAGGTTCAGTACCTGAAACGCTGAGTCTGGTGGTGCAGGGGCCCTGTGTAGCGGCGGGCAGCAGTCTGGTACAGCTGAGTCAGTAAGGCCTGGCCTGTCTTCTGGCTGGGGTTGTTGGCGAACTTGACAGTGATGGGCTCGGCGGCACCCAAAGGCTTTTGTCCGTTCAGACCTTTGATGGCCTCCTCTGCTTCGTTTCGCTTGTCAAACCGGATGAAACCCACTCCTCGTGATATGCCTGCTCCGATTAAGAAAACAGACCAATGTTACTACCTTGGCATCAAGGACTGTTGCTGCCTACCAGTCTTTCATGAAAAAAAAGGTACTTAAGTGACAGCATGAGAAGTGAAATAAGGCTATACCTGTAACTTGGTCCACTAGGATGCGGGATGTGATGATGCGACCATATTGGGAGAACAGCTGTTCCATGTCCTTCTGGCTCATGGTTTTAGGGAGTCCACTTACGTAAAGGTTGGCATCACGAATAGAAGCCGAGCTTGGCCGGGCATATGATACCTATAGTCCAAATGAAATAAAAAGTGCATTATTTTTATATACCCCAAAATCACAAGGTGTCTCAGAAAAACAACCCGTCAATTTAAGGAGCATGCTAGAAAGATCTAAAGTAACTGGACTGAGTTCCCAACAAGTTCCCAACACAAAGTCTTCATTTTTACTCCTGCTCAAGGCACAATGAGACTGTCACAGACACACTATGATGACTGTAACCATTACCCAAACTGATACCGATCATCAGTTAACAAGCCCAAGTGTCAGCTTTGTTTTTCATTGCAAAACACTGGCCTTAGTTAATGCATTTTCCTGAATTCACTGATGACTTAATTAGTGCACAGCCATTTTTGGTGCATCTGTGTTTATATCCCTTATGGTTTTCTGTTGGTCTACTTTTCAGAACATTTTACATCTTATACTGCTGAGGAATATCTGATTGATTGTAAAAAAAAAAAAAAAAAGTCCTCAACATATTCTTGTTTTTGTGTTTATGGGAGCACGTGAACACATGTGTGATAGATAATCCAGTTCAGTGCATTGTTGGCAGTGCTGTGTTTGTGTGTGATGGAGAGACAGAGTGAGTGTTGTCTGAGATAGGCTGAGCTGCCCTCCCTGTCCTGCCTCCTTCCATTGTTTCTATCCTCTAAGGGAGAACAGCTCCACTGGCAAACAGCAAACAATGTAAGTGCATCACAAGACTTGCAGGACTTAACTTAAAAACACACTGTTCGAACATGCACATTGTTTGTTTGCATTTGTGTGATAAATATAAATGTTCACAAAATGTAGAAATATTTGTTGAATTAACTTTGATTTCACTTACTGCACAGACGCAAAGAAAGCTGTGATGAAAATTAGAAGGACTTATCCTTATCGTATATTATCTGTCAAATGAATACAGGTGTTCTGATTTCATCCATCAGTACTAAGCACCAGTGTCTATTGTGTACACAGACAGACTATATGAGCAGGAGGGTTGTGTGGTGCAGTGATTAGGGTGTTCTGGACGAGTCAGGGGGGAGTTGCTGTGTTCGGGGAGCAGAGGCTGCCCTATAATTAACCCTCTCCCTGTCGCTCCCACAGTACAGATGGTGCCTGAAGCCCATATGGCCTCTAATCCTGTCATTGGCATTCTGCTCTCTGAGCTACCCCCTATCCTTCTACTGCTGCCCCCTCCCTCCCTCACCACCTCACCCCTCTCTATTGAAGCCTCCTTCAAAACCAGAAAGATAAAACTATGGTATTGACCAGAGGAGTTATTTCTTAAATTTGAGATTTAATTCTTAAAAAGTGAATTATAGACAGAGCGATGAGATGTCCACTACATCAAATAATGAATGAATGTCATAACATAAGATCAAAAATATAACATGATGCGCTTGTAACAAGTAATTTCTCTTGTTCAATCTCATGCCGACTGTTGTATGATGCTATACAAATCTACATGCACCAAAAAAGAACCAAATCCAATACTCAACTTTTCTTGCTTGTAGTTTATTTAATCATTCATTAGTCAGAATTAACGTCCCTATTCATGGACAGCTGTTGGAAGATCACCTGCTCTGCTCTCTCACAGATTTGATTTCTCAATCCTGCAGTTTGTCTCAATCTTTGATCTACTTTGAGCAGGTTGGGGGGATGGAAGGAAGTAGTGTTTAATAATATGCCCCCTCTTTCCCTCATCTGATTTTGGGACAAAGAAGCCCCCTAATTAGCCTAGATTGGAGGCAGATGGGGTAACCTGGACTGACCCTTGTGCGCCACAGTCAGGCTTCCTAATTACATTTCCATCACAATAACCTCTGCATGCTGTCCGCCCCTTGCTTTCTGACCTCCACTCGCCTTCTCTTTTCACCCTTTCTCTCACTCTCTTTGTTCTAGCCACCGCTCCCTTCTGCCTCCTCCTCCCCATTTTCCTCCCCTCCCTCTGTCACGTCTGCCGCTACCTCTCTCAGCAAACCCCCCCTTGACAAAATCTCCACTTCCTTTCTTTTTGTCTAGCAAGTCGTCAAGAATGAAAAAATGAAGAGTGACTATTGTAGAGAGTAGTGGTCTGCTCACCTTGATTGTTTTAGTCTGCAGTTTGAGACCATTGAGTGTGTTGATGGCCTTATCTGCATCATTTGGATCCACATAGTTTACAAAGCCATATCCCAAACTCTGACCTGGAGACAAAGAAAGACCCATAGTGGTGTCAGTGATTCTCAAACACAGTTGTAGTGATGATGTTTTTTTAAACATGGACATAGTGTTGTACCTGTTATTTTGTCTCTGACTAGCTTGCAGGACTCGATCTCTCCAATGCTACCAAACAAACTTTTGAACTCTTCCTGGGTCATGTTCTGAGGCAGATAGTTGACGATCAGATTGGTTTTGCTGTCGTCTGTGGAGCCGTTGGTACTAATGACTGGACCGTTAGGCAGACTGGTTCCGCTTGGACCGTTGGACACCTGGGTTTCCATGGTGCTGATTATCTGCTGAGGAAGAGGGTGGAGTTAGATTCATAATTCACAAAGAGACACAATAGGACACAGTGGTGATATGGCTGTATAAATGTGCATGTGATACTATTTAAGATATGAACAAATATACTATACACACAACCACACACGCACAGACTGTCCACTTTGTTACTGTCAGAGGGAAAGATTGGGGATCAGCATAGCTAAAATGGAGATGGATACAAGGTCTGATTTATCATCTACCCTCCCCCTCTTTCACCCCATCTTTCCTCCTCTCTCGCTCCCTGCCTCTGGTCCTGCAGATGTCACAGTCCTTTTTCCTTACTCCTCCCCTCCCCCCACTCTCTTCCAGGGTCAAACACCATTACATCATTACACAGGGATGGATAATAGTGATGGTCGTGTGTGAGGCTGGGGGAGTTAAGAGTGGCAGGGGTTGAGATGACGGACAAAAGGGAGAGCGACAATGTTAAATGGATTGTGTGCTACAATAAATGAGGAATATCACGGTTTGGTAGAAAAATAAGTCAGGATTACACTGACTTTGTTAAGGTTTCTTTGTGGTAAACTGACATTTATTTTGGTAAGTGGAGTAAGGGTGTAGGTTAGTGCACAGTATAGTGTTTGTGTCTCCTGTGTTGCTCTGGAGTACACCGTGTTGCTTAATTTAATCCACAGGAGATTCTCAAGGAACATCTGTGTGGTCAGAGAAACAAAACTTCCTGCTCTACTTTCCCTTTCCCTTTCCTCACACTAGCTCTCTGTCTCTGGATCATTATTTCCAATGTAAACCTACATGGAAAACTACCGCAAACTCTAAACTTTAGTTACATTTGTTGTTGTGTGTGATAGTGATATTATGTGTATGTATGCACTGATTTGTTCAGCTTTCCAAATTAGAAAAAAATATCAAATATACTAGGGGTATACTGCAAATGTTCAACAGTTTCAGGCTTACTATTAACTGTTTTAGATTAACATCCTATTTTATGATGCACATATTTAATATGGCATGTATTTTGTTTTATTTACATCTGTGATATTTGTATGTTCAAGCATCATTAGATTAAATATTAGATTTTATGCACTTTTCAACGTGAATAAGTAACAGATGTTTAGGTTTAGGTTCTCCTTGTTGACTCTACTCTGCTACTAAAATTAGCCTCTATAAGATAACCATGCATCTGCAGTGCTGTTAGCAGTAGACAATTTTAAGTCTCTTCATTTGTACAAACAAGAGTCTAAAATTGTTTGGATAAACAGTTTGAATGCATATACAGTGTGTTAGTAGGGCCAAAATATAAATTGTTATGTCCGATTGCAGCTTCAAGCTGCTCCAGCTCTCTAACTCATGGATGTAATGTCAGTAAGGCTAAATGAGTCTCCTCTAAAGCTCTTGGGGTCTTACAATGTGGTCCAAAGCAACAAAAGGACTTAATTAATGAACCTTCAGAATTATTTCAAAAATGTCTTAATGGAATTTCCTGACTTGGTGGAGAAGTAGTAAAGGCGTCACTGAAGCAAATATATATATAACAGAAATATTTACCTGGCAATTAATCCTATAGCTTTTTGGTGAATGTGCACTAATAAATCATGACCAGCTTAATTTTAATTCTGAAAAAGGGATATTTAAAGGAGTATTTTATATAGTATTGCATTATATATATATAGGATTTTCCTTTATTTGTAACATAGGAATGATAACAGAAAGGATGAAGGTTATTGACTAAGATGAGCTGCTTCTGTCAGGTTGTTAATTATATAGATTTCATTCACTGCTCATTCTATCTTGTAAATCCACCAACTTTTTGTATTTGTTCATGCTGTCTTTCTGTGTTATCATCACGTTCTCTCTCCTTTAGCATCTGCGAATGGGTCTGTCTAACCTGCCTTTCTCCCTCGTCTCTGTAACCTGCTCTCTTGCTTTGAGCCTCACCTCCACTCAGGTTGCCCAGGTAACAGCCCCTCAAAGACTGCATTGTTTCTAATGGCTGAATGGCTTTCTTACTTTAAGCTCAGTGTGTGTTTGTGTCTGTGCTTATTAGGAGCACATACACAGGTCAGACATTTTTCCTCCATGTTAGCAGAAGCAGGGAATATCAGTAAATGAAATTGGTAATGACAACAGGAAAAAAGAGCACAGTGACAGAGTTAAGACAGCCTAAAAATAAAATACTTCAGACGCACAAAGGCAGTGCAACATAGATAGCAATCACATCAAGATTTTGATGCACAGCTAAAATGCCTGCTAAGCTATCTTTTTCATGTCGTTATGAATTATGATACAATTAACACACATGTTGACAAACAAGGTTTGAATCAAGATGTTACGTTGTATTTGTTGTAATATTAACCTAGTACATTGTTGTGTAATGTGATGCATCTGAGTAATGGAAATATAAGCCACTGAACGTGTCCCAAATATGACAAAAGCATTTTGAAAGAAAAACATATTAGGGCAAATTTGACTCGCCAACTGAAATAACCCTCAGCATGGCAGAACACACATCCCCAGTGAACAGTGTGAAGTTATATAATTCACAGATCCACTGAGTATGGGCTGGGCACTGAGATTGGCTGACACAAGCAGCAACTAAGATTAAGATTTTCACACAGAAAGAGAGGGGAACGGCATGCTTTGAAGTTGTTTGAAACCAATAGAAAAGATGAACACCACAGAGGACTGTTTTATCTTTAGGCTGTCATATATCATATTGTATATCAACAACAAAATCAAATAGTCTTGAGTTTGGTTTGCAGTAACCCAATTACTATGACACGAAGAGACAATAAATCATTGTGATGTTGCAGGAAGGCCTACAGTAGCATTAATAATTGCAATACGCCGAGTATAGAACTACTCCAGCTATGCTATCCAGACATTTTCGATTGCTGGAGACAATAAAAACGCTCACTCAAGGGGTACCTTGTAACCATGACATCCTAGGTGTAAATATGGCCTAGCTCCTTTGTTGTGTATCGTAATTCCTCTCATATGTCTGGTAAACTATCTAATAAGGACGGAAACATGCCATAAAAACAATCTTTTAAAAATGAAAAAATTTCTCAAAGATTCCAGTTGTTAGAGTAGCACTATGTGCTTATTTCTATTTGGGGGTTCTGTGAGATCTCCCTTAATATTTAATGTACTGCATCAGCATCGCCCACACATGGTCCCAGACTTGCACGCAAACAAGAGCCCTGCCTCCTCTGCCAAACACATGAACCCAGACTTGCACGCAAACAAGAGCCCTGCCTCCACTGCCAAGCACACGTACCACCTACACTGTACACAATTAAATTACAAAACACAGAAGCATTACATGACTAAATGTAAATGTAGTCTTAGTTCTCTGTCTTCTGATGCCTATAAACAGCTTTCCCCAATTCATTTCTGCTCCAAATGCAGCACAGCACCGGAGGCTATAATATACAGAAGAATAATTGTTTCTCATTTCGAGTCATAACATGGGATTTTCCACATTATATGTTACATTGCATTAAAAATCACCAGAGAGATATAACAAGAGAGAAAATAACATTGTCACTATTAGCATTTTGTCTTGGCATGCAGTCCAGCAAAGTGTTTGTGAATTTTAGGCTTACTATAGATTTAAATTCACCTTCTGTATGCCTGTAACATATGTATTTTAATTGTCTTTGTGCAGTCAAAATGTAAGAAATCCATCAGGATATTAACAATTATAACAATCTTGATAACAGTGATTGCTCCTTTTAATATAAATAACCTTGTCTCTTCGTCTACATTATATTACCTTATATAAAGATTGTTTTTTCTGGAAGGCATGAATCAAAAGTGAATGCTAGGCTGAAGTGTAAATGAGCCTTCTAAATAACACAGATTACAGGATTATCCCAGACAAAGGGCATTAGCCACACTCTCTGCAGCTTAAGGGATCATGGTGGCAGCTGTAAAACAACAGGACGACAGGAGTCACAGCTCATGTCAGCCATGCACTAAGGCTCAATACTGTTCTCTGCTCCGCAGACTAAGAATAAAAGATTTCTAAAAGATTTCAGCTCTCTGAGTATGTGCTGCTTTGATAAGATGGGAGCAGACAACGTCAAAGGCTCGGGGAGACAAATCTGTCCTGCAAGTCCTTGTAGCATGCGGGGCGCTATCCAGCGTGCTGAAAAAGGGAGTGGCTTTCGAACTGTCTCATTTGAGGCCACAGAGGCCCGTTAATACACCAAAGACCACCGAGTCGTTTTATTTTATATTTTGTTGACTTTGAAAACGTTTTCCTTCGAGTAATTAAGAAAGAAATAACGTAAACGGCTTTTTAAATATGGTAGATGCATAACATAATCACTCGATTTCTACGTTTCCCTTATTTAGCCTCCCTTTTTTCTTTTTAAAGGCAACACTTGTGAGCTCTGCAGGCATTCATGAACCGGAGCGCCTTTTTGCTGAATAAACGTATTGAAACGACCAAACAAAAGAGCCACCCGTTCCTCCTCTTCTCCCTCGCAGAGGCTATGGCAGCACTATGAATATTAATGTAAACAGTGGCGCTTTGTGTCGTGGCCAGGGGCTGCAGGACTCTCCGGGAACAATGACTGTTACAGTTGCCAGCTACAAGTCAAAAATGCCACGATAGGTCAAATAAAAAATCACCAATCTGAGATATTTATTTGCTCATTTTGAATCGTTTCCCCTAACAGAATTTATAGGCTTGTATGTAGTTATAGTAAATACAAAGCTTGGTAAACTGGCTTTAGCTAAGCGAGCACTGGCGTATGGGAGGAAGAATGGCCACTATTATAAATAAAAATAAATACTGCTAAAGGAAATAATGTTTTATGATCTTCATAAAAATCAGCAATCCATATTAAAGCTAGTTTAATTTATCGTGTGCAGTAAAATTATATTATGAATATCTGTTGCTTAAAAACATGATTGTAAAAGTCTCAGAGATGTAAACGAACGTCTCTCTACTTCTTTCTTCCCAACAGGCTTTATATTTGTTGCTGATAATTACATGAAGTCATTGGCAACAGGGGGCAAATCACTGCTTACATAACATAATTGCATTTAACGTCTCATACAAGTTAGACGTGTCATAAGTTAGAACTGTAAAAAATATAACACAACGTGAAGCCTTATAAACGTTGTATTTCGGACTGAGACTAAACATGGCCTCTAACCTTTTAAATCATCACCCAAAAAGATTTATATTTAATTCTGTATTGACTGTAATGGCATTTTTAACTTACCAATAAGAAAGCGTTTAGACTGGTTTACAGTGAGGGCCTGGGTTGCCCTTGTCCTTGAATTGTGTAAGTGCCTTGGATAGGTTATCTGACTCAACGCTTTTATTTGCTTGGCACTGCGGTACGGGCATAGAGGACTGCGGACCATGTGGAGGGGAACTACAGCCTCTGTGTGATTCTGTCTAGGCCTGTCAGGGACAATAGGTAATATACAACAAAGAGAAACTAAAATTAGGATTGGAAATGTGTCGAGTGGACAGTTCGAGTCTCATAGATGATGAAACAACGTGCTGCCCACCTCCATTTTGCATAATTTTCCGAAGCAATATTCTGACCATTTCAAATTCAGTGACTTGAGATCCTAAAGTTGTCGAGGACCAATTCCCACTCCCACATCCTGTTCCATTTCTTAAATAATTTCTACTATTATAGTCATAGGCTGAGCAGCCTGATGTTTTATCAAGTGTAGATATAATTAGAATTTTAATGAATTATTAAAAAATATATTATATATAAATATATATAACTATATATAGCTATCAGTTTAATAATCAGGGTTTTTAACACCTGCATGTGTTTTAAGGTTGGACCGAGCAGCATCCTTCTGCTGCTGATGGTTGGTTTCTTATTTATTTCATGGCTTCTATAATTTCATGTAAATGTGTCTGGTCTTAATTGGTCTGCTTAGATAAACTGCCTGTTGTCAACCGTAGGGCACGTCAAGAGGTAAGGCGGAGTAGGCCTTTTTGAGGCTTTAAGGCCCTCTTTGGTGCTTCAGTCCAAAAGAGACACGCCCAATCCGGCCGTCGGCTGAGAGCAAAGCTAATTTATCACCGCTTACATCTCCTTTTATTCGACAAGCGCAATGCAAGCATGGCCATCTTGTACGTATGTGATGTGATGCCTGGAGAAAATGCGCTTAAAATGGAGATGTCCGTGCGTGTCCTTACTGTCGCGGCCTCTGAGATTTCCAGCCCATTTACTCGGTTGCATCGCAACGAGAACCCTGAGGAATTTGGACTTTGTCTGATTCAATGCAAACCGATGGATGCGTAATTTCCCTCCTCCCCCTCCCCCTCCCGTAGTGACTCGACCCTTTTTTCCTTTGCTTTGCTGGATGGGCCCTCAGCCTCCGAGGCATCATGTTTTGTCTCGGAAACCCGTCTCCAGCATCCTTGTGCTGCACCAGGCAAAGAAAGCAAGTACTCCCCCCACTCAACCGAGCGCCTCATCGCCTTTCTTCCTCTCCATCACTGTAATCCTGCGGAATTCCTAAATCTTGACTCCTGCATCATTTCGGAAATATAATCAAAGCTGCGGCATTCAGACAGCCGGAGTTGCTGTCATACATAAACGTAAAGGCTGTGCTATCTAAAATGGCAGGATAAAGACTTTATCCATCGCCGATGATGACTGCAGGAAGGAGCGCAGCCGGCATGGCGCATCACTCAGTATGAGATTGCTAATTGCCACTATCGATCGTTAATCTTATTATAATAATATGGCATTGCACATTGAACAAAAACATAGGACACTAATCCCAAAGCTTCCCTGTGTTTTGGCATGTGGGCAAAGCCATAGAGCATTGTTTAAATTATATTACTCTCCACAAAAGATATATCTTAAGATGTGAAAATAAATCTGTGTGTGGCTTCAACACATGTGTACATGTAGTGCATAACAAATCAAACAAATCATAAAGGGACTGAGATACAATGCTGCTACAACATCCTCTTCACAAATATAAGAGAAATAGAGTCATACGTACAGTAACCATTCTTGACGTACAATGAAAGAAATCTAGGTCCTTCTTTGCACTGGTCTTGAAGCTGAAGCTGAGTCTCTGTATGCTCTTCGGCCTTTATATTATATGGCCCTTATGTTCTGTCAGGAGTCCAAATTAAAAGAAAAAAAAAGAAAAAAAGGAAAAAAAATACAATCTTCGCCAGGGAATCTCAGCCCTCTGAGATTGTAGGTGTCCTCTATAGGATGAAAATGAGGAGAAAGGGGTTTTCTACTGGATGATGATGAGGGAGAGCGTTCTCTCCGAGTGGCGTGGGCGATGGTTCAGAAAAAAAGAGAAGCAGTGATCCTCAGCAGGGTGTGTCCAGGGGAGGGTGTTCTGGTTCTGCTGTTTTTATGTGTAATTCCCTGCTCCTCTCGCAGTCTCCTTCTGTGCCTCTGCTGCAATGTTCTTCTTTTATGCGTCCTCCTGGCTGGCAGAGCGCGCTGCTGATTGGCTAATTGTGCAGGGAGGGTACTACATGGCAGCCATTGCAATGCGCTCCTCTCCCATTATCCCCTTCAGGAGAGATCACCAAGAGTCCCCCCCCCCCCCCCCCACACACACACACACACCCTCCCTCCCTCTTCCATCCCTGCCCTTCCATCTCTCCACTCCCTTTTTCTAGCTGCCCTTCCTTTCTTCCTGCCCCCCTCTTCACACACACACACGCAGAGCGGAGTGAATAGGGCTCCACCTGCACTTTCAGAACAGATGGGTGCAGCAGAAGACAGCAGACTTGTCTCTCTCATTCCCTACACTTTGCACTCACTTCTCCCTCAGCACAGCCCCTTCCTTTCTCTCTTATTCTCCATTTAGGCCTGTTTGAAACCATAGCAAACAACTTCACTCCTTAGGCCTTTGTCTTTGCAAATAAAAGCGATTTTGAGTGTAAATCGGCAGACTTTTGTGAGTCCACATTCTCAGCTGATAATCACAGAATTATAGCAGTGGGGGAAAAGACACAAATATGCCATAATTGGGTGTGAATTGTGGATAGAAACAAAGCATTAAATCCATAATACGACTAATGATTGAATGATTTCAGGACCTCTCATATGCAAGGCAGATGGCTAGCTATAGGGTCAGGTGCAGACATGAGAATAACAAATTAGATGGCCTCTGAATAAATTCATGTCTTTTTAGTGAAAAGTTGAGAAAGGTGCGGTTGTAGCTCAGATCTGTCTGTGCTGAATGATCTCTTTTCTTTGCTTTATGAACAGAAATGTGGCCAGAAGTGATTTTTGTCTTAATTTACAACATCCCAATATCCCCTTCCTGAGGAGTTCTCATCCCTTTCTGCCCACCTCCTGCTGCTCCCTCCTGTGTCTAGCTGTGTGGTGAGTGCTCACTGAGACATGCTGTTTGGGCTCATCTATAATGCATCCCCTGCCCCGGGACATCATGTGTGACAAATGACCTATTTCTGTGCAGACCCCCATAGGGCCTTGACCTGGGGGTGGGGGGGTGGGGGGCTAAATCAGTGTATGTTTGTTTATTTGTGTATGAGTCTGGGGTTGCTGTACATGTAAGGAAGTGAGATGGTTAAGGGAGGTTGTGCTTTGTATAGAATGAATGTCTCGTGTGTGCTTTTTATCTCTCGATGAGTGGAGTGGTGTGAGCCTTTACTGCAACAACAATCAGTTTCTCTGCTCTGCTCTCCCTAACTGACCTTGAGGAGTCCTCAGATGTCTCTGGCTGTAAGGAGTGGTGGTGTGAGGGAGGTGATTGTTTGCATTATTGACACTGACACTTGCCTTTGATGGATCTGTGGATGGATGCCAGCCTATAGTCAGATGAAGATATAGCACAGAAGTAACTTATTTACTCTCACTGTATGTTTCTTGTGGTTTCTCCCACCTTCCAGTCTCTCCTTCCCGGTCACTCTTGTATACCCCCTCTTTCTTTCTGTCATTGTCCTGCAGCTCCCTTCCAGTCAGATTTTGAACATGGGCCCTGTCTGATATTTTACATAATTGCCTTACATAAGTAGCAAGCTCGGCTCAGAGCTTGGATGATATTAGTGGAGATGAATATTGCATGAGGAAAGCACTCGTTAAGCGTTAATAAGAGGATAGAGATGGAGCCCCACTGTCAGTCTGTCTTAACCCCGCCCCCACCGTTCTGTCAAGCAGTGACTCAACTCAGGCTGGATGCGTTGGAGCCTTTGAGTCAGTTTGTTAGAGAGGGAGGAAAAGTGTGTGTCTATGTGTGCTTGCACACACGTTTGTGTGTGTTTCTGCCGGTGTGTATGAACGTCTGAGAAGAGACAGCGAGATTCGGTCATTAGGTGCTTGTGTTTTTTCCATCTTTGTTTGCTGAATAAAAGCAGCTCTTGTAACACAAAGGCACCCAGGTCCGTCAACTGACTGCAGCCCCACTTACAGTTCACACTTAATGTGAATAAATAGGCTTAATTGTGGCCCCTCATTAGAGCCCTGGTTAGTAGCACAGCAGCTGAATCCTCCATGTGGGTAAGAGGGCATTTGAAGCGCCTATTGTACATTACTGAATCAAAGGATCAAGCATTGGTTTTACTTAAAAGGCTTTTTGTTATTCTACTGATTATTTTCTTATTGTTTAGGGTTCCTCCACTAGTGGTGATTAGGAGTCTTGTTGCAGTGGTCCTTTTTCTCTGGCATATCATGGAATGCTCTTTGGTGCCAGAGGGATAAACTCAAAGCATTTACAAAATTAGTTCACTGATTTTGAAGTTCATAAGCTCACCGAGGAAGCATACTAAGCACTGCTAACTATGCAATTAGCATAGAAAATACAATAGAAGGGGCAGAATAATGCATACATTTTACATAGCATCTTTACTTTTATTTTACAATTTTGTCTATACAGCACTACCAGAACAGCAAGAATATGCCAGTAGGATATCATTTACAAATGTATTATGTATTTGAACTTTGAATAGTAAATATATGATGATACTTAACTTTGTAAATCGTGAAAAACCCTGTTGTTTTGAATTCCTTAGCCTAGCCTTTTCTGTTTTTCATCTCTATTATTCTCGTAGTATTACGTCAAAATGAATGCCTGTTGCCATTGCCCTGCGGTAATGTAGTGGCCTTGTGTGTGTGTGCGTGTGTGCGTGTGTGTGTGTGTGTGTGTGTGTGTGTGTGTGTGTGTGTGTGTGTGTGTGTGTGTGTGTGTGTGTGTAAGAAGGAGAGAGGGGGAGAGAGGGAGAGCGAGAGAGTGACACTATGACAGTGTATCTGGGGGGATGGGTAGGATGATTCAGCCTCAGGTCTGGTTAATTCAGTGGTCTCTCCACTAGGCCTGGCTCTTGGCAGTTCAGGGTTTTGTGGCAGCAGCAGTGAAGCGGTTATTGCTTTCAGGAAAAGATCCAAAATTAAATTAGCCTCTTTTTAAAAGGACATTTGTTGATAATGGCAACTGGCCTAATTCAACCCTTTATGTATTTGGCAATTTTCTTGTGGTCTCCCTCATGGGTTCACTCTTGCACTTTCTCTCTGTCTCTCTCCTCTCTTTCTCTATATCTTTCTCTCCCTCTGTCTGTCTGGATGTGTTGTCTCTGGGCTATTATTAGAGTAGACAGGCTGGTGGGAGGAAGTCTCTGAAGTAGACGCTCTTGTCATCTTTTTTTATTTACGGATTATATTCTGCTTTCCTTGTGCCTGTTTAATTCTCAGTGAACAGCTATCTGTCTTTTGTTTGTATGTATTCAGTACAGTATGAGATACGTTTAACCTTTTCAGGCAATGTTTATGTGCCACATTCTCATTATTTGATTAAAGAATAAAAACATTCACATGCAGGTATATATTACTACATGTGAATCATAACATCAACTGTGCCACCTTTGTATGTTCATGAGTGTGTGAATGAATGTTCATGTTGCTTTGAGGTTGGGTGAAGCAGGACTAACCTCTTTTACAGAGACCATGTTTTACTCAAGACCTTTTTAGATATAAAGCCGTGGTTATTAATCTTTCATTTTGTCCTGTCTGAGTCGGTATCTAGGGAGAGACCTTAAATACACAAAGCTCTTAGACATTCTCTTTGTTTTTCTCTCGCTCTTTTTCCTGCTGCACTTTTTCTATCTAACATGAAAAAAACACACAAGTGACAGACATAAAACGAATAGAAGAGGTGCAAATATGCTTGCTCCTGTTAAGCTGAGCTGTTTTTAGCTTCATGAACTGTGCAAATGCCCTGACTTTTAATGAGCAATAAATAATATAAAACACATTTCCTGCCTCAACCTGAAATGTACTCATTGTGCTTTCATGTAGAATTTGTTCCGTATCTTGACAGAGAAAGAGCAGATTATTAGATAGATAACATGGGCTGTCCAAATGGAATATGATAATGTTTCCTAGAAAAACTCACTGGTTTAGCCATTGCACTCTGTTTTCTCCCCCTCCATCTTCATCCTTCCTCCTCTCCTCTTTCAATCTCTTGCTCTCACTCCCTTTAGTCCAGCTCTCTCTCCCTCATGGCCCTCCCCGTTTCAGTAATAGGAGACTTGAAATCAATAGCACATTAGTCTGGCCGGAAACTCTTGTGGAATTAAATATGAATGACTGAGATTGCAGCTCTACCTGCTGCTGAGAGAGATGCATGATGGCTCTTGGGGATATGGGTTTTTGTTTTTCATTCCTCCCTCTAGTAAACAGTCAGGCCATTTTGTGCTGTTCTTACAGCTTACCGGATCACTGAGCTACCTTGTTTCGTCGGAGATCAGTGCGCAGATCTGTAGACTTTGATAGGTATTGTTCGGGTTGTCATTTTGTCCTTGGCACTGAACAGTGACCAGTCCGATAGCATAATTTGATAGAGCAAAGGGGATTGTGGACGTCACAAAGCCGCGACAGCTCAGGAGGCAAGAAGAATCAGCCGGCCACACCCATCCTCCAAACGCAGCAGCAGCACTATTTGAATATGAAAGAGCTCTCTGGTTATTAGCAGATTGCGTCTTACGTTTTTTCATTATTTCCTCCAAATACAATATGTGCTTTCTCTCTCATTAAGCTTTCAGGTTTGCTGCTCTGCACATTCATTCTGGAACTTTTTACATGTAAATTTCGTTACGTTCATTTTCATTAACTGGTTCACTGTGTGAAGTGCAATAATTCTTTTAACATGCTGTTTGGCTTAAAAGCATAATTTGCAAGGTGGTTGGAGAGTGCTGGCTGGTGGGAGGAAGGTAATATGAGACAAAAAGCCACAGCGTATGCTTCTGGGAATTGGTAAAGGCTTGGGCACCAGTAAGCTAATACACATACATGATATAGAGGTAGATGTATTTGTGAGCTATATTTCATCCCATCAGAGATGAAACGGTTTGTGACAGATGGAGTGATATTGTTCCCGTGTACGGCCCATGAGTGCGGCCCCTCCTGCTTTCCCTCCCTGACAGATGTAGGGGGAGGACCACAGTGCACT